GGGATATCCATTTTTTTGAAGCCTGCGTCGACGGAGGGTGTCACATCGCACTCCCACTCCCCGTCGACGGTTTGCTCCAGGCCATCGTCGTTCGGTAAGATTACTCGTCACACTTTCATGGAAAGGTCGCCGTCGCATCACTCCCAGCCACCGTCCACCACGCTCAATAAATCACGAGCACCGGCCACTCATCCCCAAACGCATTTTAAGCGCGCATGGATTGCGAGCACTGTAGTGGACTGCTTTCTCGCCGCGCTCTTGTCTGCCTTTCGCGCGCTGTTGTGCCGTCGCCTGCTCCCGCCGCGCAACTTCATTAATGGCCACTGTCGTCGTCGACCACATCACCATCTGCGACGCACGCCGTCTACCATCTCTGTCGTCCGCCAATCGTCTTGGCGCCATTCGTCGTCGTCGCCTCGTCATCACCTGCCATCGTTCATCGTCGCCGCCCTTGCCGCCGTCAACGTCCACCCGCCATTCGTCGTCGTCGACCTTTCAGTCATTCGTCGTCGCCCTGACCATCATTCGCCACCCTGTAATCTGTCCGTGTACTCATAGCCGTCCGTTCCATTATGTCTTCCATTCTCGCCGCCCTGCGATCATCCAGCCGCCGCGTGGTGTACTCGTCTGCAAGTTCTGCGAACCACCTACCGCGATTGAAGGCGCTTTTGTCGGATCCGCCATGTCTTCCTGCGGAGGTGGACGGGCGAAGGCTGCCTTGATCCAGATCGTGGAAGGCGCGACCCCCGCGAAGAAGGGACGTCATCAAGCGAAGAGGTAGAGGAAGGGCGTCCAAGCCGTGGCCGCTGGCAGTGGGCGAGACGTTGTGGAGGTGGCTGTGGTGGAGGAAGAGATGACGAACGACGACGACGACTTTGAAGATGACGACAATGAACCATTGCTGAGGAAGGCGAGGGTCGGTTCCGCGAGGGGGATTAGAATAAACGAGGGGGGGGAGGGGACACCGACCGCACGGCGCGGCGGTGGCGTTGCCGCGGCCAACCAACCAGTCTTCGTCGACGTGGCACGTGACGTGGGGCGCGACGTCGCAAGGAGGGACGTCGCTGGCCGCGCGAAGGAAGGGGCCGCATCGCATGAGACTTCGCAATGCGTGCTTGCGCCAGTGAATCGTCCCCGAACCCCGGCTGCAGACGTGGCGGGGGGTTCCCAAGCAGCGGTTGAAGGTGGGACGTCGCGATCTCCCGCGGTGGCGGCACGCGGCGGCGCTGTGGCAATCCCGGGAGAGGCGGTTGACGTCCCGAAGGGAGGAGATGGCGCGGCGGGCGGGGAAGACGACGAGGCTCTGGTGCACAGGCTGCGCGGGCAACGAGCGGCGACACATGCGATGGATGCCGCCGCCAAACTTTGGGAGGATGACAACAGATTCTGGAACGACACGCAGGGGAGCGTCGTAGTGAGGATAATCCAAGAAGCGCGCGCGTATCTCGTGGCCGTGGCGCGGGGAGTGCAGCCTCCGGCTATTCGACGGAGCATCTCCCTTCCACACAACTCCATCCCCCAACACAAAATCGAGGACGAGTCGGAGCTCAACGCGGCGAAAGAGAGGGCGTTGAAAGTGCAGACAATCTCCCTCAGGGCGATCCACAGTTGGGTCTTCAAGTCGGAGAGCAGGGAAAGGGGGTATCACATGGCATACCAATACGCGTTGAATCACGCTGCCACGGACATCGCTAGAGCAATGTGGTCACCAGAGGACTGGAGCAGTTTGGTGAGCCCAATGTTGTTCTGCACCACATTGAACGCAGACATGAAGTTGCCTTTGTGGTTCGTGGGCGTGAACATAGTGGACAGGCACGAGGATGATGAGTGCGCGGCTTACCAGGAAGCTTGTGTCCAGCGTCTTGTGCGGGATTTCACGAGCACAGTTGGCACGGCGGAAGCTATGGACGGCGGTCGAGTGTCGTACGAGCGTCTGAAGGGGATGGCAGAGGTGATGACGTATTTGCTCGCCGTCACGATGTGGATTATGCGAATGGCGGGGGACGATCCGAGATCGCATTACGACGCTTGGGTTTTCGTTCAACTGACGGCGAAGACGACGCTGCTGGCGTCCATGAACCGTCAGTTCGACGCCCGCCGACACATCACACAATCCGCGCAGGTCATGACGGACAAGTTGGGGAGACCGCCTCCAACCTTCGCCCCCCAACCTGTGAACATTCCTGATTGGGCGTCCAAGTGAGGGGTCACTTTCTCGCACGACGCCACGTTGGCCTCACCGATGGAGGCGAAACGGTTGGATTGGCTGGGGACAGGTCCCCCCGAGGACGACGACGACGACGCCGAAGGCGATGACAAAGGCGAGGGGGGGTGACGCGTAGACGACGTTGATGGCGAGGGCGAGGAGGGGATGATGCGCAGGCCCTGTTGAGATGGCAGGTACAAGAGAATGGTGGGAAGGGGGGGTC